AAATTCATTCCATAAAGTCATTCTCAATCAGTAGGTAATATACTAGATGTAAGAACTTATATAGATAAAATAAGTTATAGCTGAAGTTCTCGTGATAGATAAACAGGACATTAATCTAAATTGCTATCACTACACAACTTCTCTAAACCTAAAGTTTACTCAGATCTGAGTATAGGGACTCGCTCATGTTATATGTGATTAGCGGTGTGTGAGGGAACAATCAAACCTTATACAAATCAATAATGAAAATGTGGAAGAGAAAAAAATAAAAATAAAAATAATAAAATAAATTACAATAGAAAATGCAATAAAAAAAATAGGAATTAAAATTTTTTAGTTTTTTTTTTAAATGTTAATTCAATTTTATTTTTAATTTTTTTAAATAAATAAATAAAATTTAAATTTAAATTTAACTTAGCAAATTAGTTCGATTAAATTTTTTTTTAAATTTAAATTCAAAACTAATTTATCTAAAAAAAAGTAATCCTATCTTTAAACCCAAAACAAACTAAATCTAATCTATTCAAATCTTAACTATAATTTAAAATTCAAATTTTAAAAAAATAAAATTTAATTTTTTTTAAATCTAATCAAAACTAAATCTGAGATATCCTTATTTGCTGCTCCTCACCTCTGCAAAATCTCTACAAATCACGTAACACTATGTTATTAATCCAATCTTTAAAAATATAAAATATGAATCTAAAATTCAAAATTCAAAATTCAAAAAGAAAAGAAAAAAAAACAATATGAAATAAAAAAAAAATTCAAAATTCAAAATGCACTAAAACAACAAAATTTAATGAAACAAAAATAAATTGATGAAAATTGAAATTAAACACACTCTATAAAATGAACAAATAAGAATATCAAATCACGGCAACAGAAACAAAACAAAGATGAAAATAAAATTACGAATTAGAAAGTGAAAACGCAATACTAAACCCTAAAATGAATCAAAACTGACAACGTGTCCCTGCAACGACGCCAATTTGATAGACGATACCGAGTCGCTATTAAAACAACTAAGTTTTCTAAAGATTTTGTAATATAGAGTCAAACTTAGGTCGATTCACGGAGACATATTCTCAGTCAAATTCAATTTTAGGTTTTTTTTTTTTTAAATGCAAATAAAGTTTTTGAGGTTTTGAAAAGTGCAATTAATCAAATTAAATTATGGATAAAATTAAAGTGAGTAAAAATGAATTAAGAAATATCAATTCACAGAATACCAATTGTGTGTAATTCTGGCTATCACAGTATCTAAAGATTTAAATCCGTGTTTGAACAATCACCCAATGCAATTATTTAATTCAATTGAATAACCTAATTATATAGAGTTAAAATTAAATTAAATAATTATTTAATCTAATTCTCATTAATTATCAAATTAGAGTATTAATTGAGTCTTAATTTGAATTCTATCAATAGAAAAGTTAATTACAATCGCAATACATAATTCTGATATTAGAAAGAAAAGAAAACAAACTCGAAGCAAATTTGTGTAGAACTCAAGTTAAAATTACAGCGTTTGAAATCCATAGATTGAATAAGAGGTTTAGCCTTTCATCGAAATGCTTACCCCACGTAAGAATGAAAAAAGAACAAGAGAGTTCTAGAGAAAGTAAAAATAAAGATTCTTATTTCAGCCAAGTCTCAAAATCTCAAAGTGTCTAATCACTTCCCTCTTAATTTAGAACCTTATTAGTCTATTTATAGGTTTAATTAGGGTAAATTAAGTGGCCAAAATACGGGTCTCAATAATATTTAAAGCCTAAATACAATTATTAAATAACAAGGTCCAAATGCAATCTCGCAGCAATATTCAACAAATCTGCCTCAACTTCAAAAAATTATAAAAAATCAAAAACAACTTCAAATCCAGCGATCCATTTATGCATTTTGAAGTCTTGGATGTGTAGAATCCAATGCAATTAGAATCAGCTAAAAATGAGATCTATAAAAAAAAGTGATGGCCAAAGGAGTAGTCAGAAGTCAGAATAACAAAAAATATGAAATTAAAGCATTTATTTGTAACAACCCATTTATTCAAATAACTAGAAAATGATATAAACTCTAAAAATAAAGCATATGAAAAGTGTTTATTAATCAAAATAAAACTATAAATGTAAACTTAAAATATGTCACATTCGTGAACATTTCAACAAATTCTTCTTCCCTAAAAATCCAAATAACCTCTACATGGACAGGTACATTCTTAGGCTTATTAACACTGTGAGCAACATGTTCCTCCTTAGCCTCAACATCTCCATTCACTTTCTTTGTAACTAACTTCTTCCTACTACATTTTACTCACCTAAATTTTGGAATGTGTGTATCAAATCCATCATCTATGTCACCAGCCTCTACTCTTGCATTTAGACCTTTGTTATTTAATAATTAAATTTGGGCTTTTAGATATTATTGAGGCCTAAATTTTTGTCACTTAATTTATCCTAATCAGAACTAATAATTAGACTAATAAGATTCTGAATTAAGGGTGGTGCGATTAGACACTTTGAGTTTTTGAGATTTGGGCGTAATAAGAATCCTTGTTTCTACCTTCTCTTGAATTTTCTTATTCTCGCGTGGGTCAAGTGTTTTGATGGCTCTCGTTCAATCTGTAAAATCCAAACATTATACATCCAATTTAAGTTCTAAGCCAAATTGCTCTAAATTTGTTTCCCTTTTTTCTTTAATCTCATATTTGTATATTACGATCGTGATTAATTTTTTTGTAGTTAGAATTCAAATTAAGATTTGATCAATATTCTAATTTGATAATTAATTCGAGTTAGATTAAATGATAATTTGATTTAATCTCTGATCTAGTTCAATTAGATAATTCGATTGAATTAATAATTGAATTAGTTAAATGTTCAAACTCATATTAAAATCTTTAGATACTGTGATAATCGGGATTGCACGCATTTGGTATTCTATGGATTGATATTTCTTAATTTATTTTTACTCAATTTTAATTTGTTCATAATTTAATTTAATTAATTTGCAGTTTTCAAACCTCCAAATCCTTATTTTCATTCTTTTAAAAAAAATCTAAAATTGAATTTAACTGAAGATGTATTTCTGTGAATCGACCTAGGTTGAGCTCTATATTGCTAAATTTTTAGTGAAACTTGATTGTTTTGATAGCAACTCGACATCGTTTATTAGGGTGCTCTTCGTAACATAAGTCTTCTTTTACAATCTCAAGTGTTTCAAAGTATGACTACCTATCTATATCAATGTTATTCACAGGAACTGCCTATTTGCCCTCAACATAATGCATCATGAGGTCCAACTCAAAATGACCCCCATGATAAATAATAGCATTGAAAGCCATCTGTATACAAAAAAGAACAAATATTCATGTTAGGTAAAGCAAAATAAACAAAAGTAAACCCTAACCCTCAATAATCAAATCGAATAACACTTACCTTCAATAATGTCCAAAACAATGTTTCGTATTACTCTTCGCTCAACATTAGGTGCTTTCCAGAACAATAAAGGAACAAGGAACAAACAACAACACGAATGTTTATTTTCCAAACGAAAAACAATGAAGAATAAAGATGTAGATGAGAAACAAAGTTGAATTTCAAATAAGGGGTTCAACAATTTTTGCTTTATATTTTAAAAATTTTCACTTAAAAATAAATATTGGAGAACTGCCCATTTACGACTTCAATATTTCCAAAGTTGAAATATTATGCGCTTGAATCTTAATTTTTTTTAAAATAAAATGTTAATGTGGATTTGTGATGTGAAAATTTAAGGGTGAGGTGAAGGAGAAAAATTGAGAGTGACGTGACAAACTATGAGCTACGTCACCATTTAACTGATAGAGATTAATGTCAGGTACAAAATTGAAAAAAAGTTAGTTAGACATTAAAATGAAAAAAAAATTAATAGGTAGTAATTTGAAATAAGTTTTATTAAGAGGTAATTAAAATATATTTAAACATATATATATATATATATATATAACATGACATTATTTTTTTGTAGTTTAAAATTTGAATTTGAAAAATAAATTTATACATTATAAATTATTTTGATAATTTTATATTGTAAGAAAAGATATAATGATTTACTTATATTTTAATAAGATTTAATAATAAAAATGGTTTAAGAAAATGAACTGAAGAAGGTAAAAGTAGTAAAATTTTAAAAATTAAAGGGAAAAAAAGAAAAATTATTAAAATAATAATAAGAACAAAAATAAAAAATAACCTTAAGCTAGTAGTTAATAAATATCATTTAAAAAAAAAAAACACTAGTTAGAGTAATGTTCAAAAAGACAATAGTAATTATCTATTTTAGTTATGTTATAAAGCATAATTATTTTTGTTAAACATACTTTTTAGCTAACAAAACAAAATTTTAACTACTCAAAATAGCTTGTTAAATATACTTTGTTTAGAGTTTAGAGAAGAAAGAAAAAGAATGTAAAAATTTATGTAATGATAATTTTTTTTTAAAGAATTTTTGGATGAGAGAAGATTATATAAACTCTTCTACGTTCATATTTTTAAGTTTTCTTAATTTGAAAAATATTTTATTAACTCTTTTTCTCTCTTTTATTTCTTTTTAAATATTTTTATTTTTTCTCCATCCAAATTTCAAACAAAGTTTAAATGATATCTCACAATAAATAATGATATAAAAATAATTTAGTGATTAATATTTTTAAATAAAAATCTTATTTTTATAATTTAAACAAAATAATATTAATAGTTTTTTTATAAGCAGGAAACGAAGGAGTAGTATTCTTTTTATTGATTAAACTTATAATTCAGTATGTAATGACATTGATGAAGACAAGACCTACCGCTTTTTTTCTCCTTGTTTTTGGTAAACATCACAATATATATATATATAGATTTTTTGTGTCCCGCCACTAAAAGGAGAACACGGGCCATCTATCTATGTGGCTTGTGCTGGTCTTCAAGAAAAGAGTTGATGGGCCTTTAGGTGTGGCATGTTTAACGGGTAATGGTGGATGGTCCAATTTGGTCGTCCATGATCCATTTCCAAATTCGGGTTAGGGTTTCCATTCTAAGCCGATAAAATCAGAAACTGCACTTTCACTCTCACTCTCCGTTTCTCGTTAGTGCTGCCTCGTTTGCGCCTCTAGTATTGGTAAGAAGCTCTTTCGGTCGATGATCTTTACCTTCGCAACTGAATTTCCCAAATCTATACCAATTGTAGTACCTTCATCTCTGATTTGCTAGAATCTCTTCATGAATTAGTAAATTTTGGGGATTTGATGATTTTTTAATTAACTTAGCAATTTGAGTCATTTCAGTAATGAGTTTCATTCAAAGTTCCGTTTTTCTTTTTGCCTTTTATTGGAAATTGTTATGGTTATCCATGTTATGCATATTTTGCAGAAACATTAGCGCATACATTTAGCAAACATGGCAGTCACATTCTACAACCTTAGCTCTGCGTCTGGATTGAAGAAGCTGGATGAGTACCTTCTCCCGCGCAGTTATATCACTGGGTATGTCACTGTTATTTTGTTCCTTCGTTTGTTTCATTTTTTTGTTTTTATTTCCGTGCTTCTTATGCATTATCTATTAATCTTTACACAATTTCCTTTCAGGTACCAAGCTTCAAAGGATGATCTTACTGTCTATGCAGCTTTGCCAACGGTTCCGTCGGATGAATATGTGAATGTGTGCAGGTGGTACAAGCACATTGATGCTTTGTTGAGAATATCGTAAGCTTCCTTCCCATGACTCATTGTCAATTATGATCATGTAATTTAATGAAAATTAACATAATGTTGTGATAGTTCATTTTAATTAATGATTTTATATGCAGGATCTATTCTGTGATTTGAGTAACCTATTATGTTTGTTACGCATTCACACTTGTTTTTGTTTCAACTTCTTATCTTCTCTGTCAATTTTGTGTCTACAGCGGTGTTTCTGGTGAGGGATCTGGTGTCACTGTGGAGGGGTCTCTTGTTGCCGAGGATGTTGCAACTCCCCCAGCTGCTGACACGAAGGCAAGTATTCTCCTAATGATAGATGTTAAGCTGAACTGTTGTAGGTTTTGTGCTTTCGTTTTACTGTGTGACAGTGCCTTAACTCTATTTTGACCTCTGTCTGTATGTAACATGTTTTTCAGGCTTCTGCTGCTGAGGATGATGACGATGATGATGTAGATTTGTTTGGTGAAGAGACCGAGGAAGAGAAGAAGGCAGCTGAGGAAAGGGCAGCTGCAGTGAAGGCATCTGCAAAGAAGAAAGAGTGTAAGTTTCTGTCTTGTCACTAAGCACATAATTCTTTGAAGTTTGTTCCCTTTCCTTTTATCAGTTTGTAATGGCATTGATTTTCTGTTTATTCTATGCTCAGCTGGTAAATCATCTGTTCTGTTGGATGTGAAGCCATGGGATGATGAAACCGACATGAAAAAGCTTGAAGAAGCAGTGAGATCTGTTCAGATGGAAGGGTTGCTTTGGGGTGCATGTATGTTATTATTATTTAAATATTTTCTATTTTTGCACAGGTTATTGATATTTACACATGTCTTGAACTTTGTTAACTTTTTTAACTCTGATCTATTTCATAAAATGCCTGAATTATAAACTTCTCTATACTGTATTGATAAATGTTTAAAGATATTGCTCATTATAGTCTTTGACGTAGAGAAACGTTTGTAATCTGCTTTACAATTATGATTGCCGTTCATACTTTTTTTTCAGTTTTTTTAGTTTATCATGTCCGTTTCTTTTTTGCATCTCTGATATTCGTATATTAATGTTGCAGCCAAACTTGCTCCTGTTGGGTATGGTATCAAGAAACTGCAAATTATGCTTACCATTGTGGATGACCTAGTTTCTGTCGACAATCTTATTGAGGAATATCTTACAGTCGAGCCCATCAATGAATATGTCCAGAGTTGTGACATTGTGGCCTTCAATAAAATATGTAAGTAGATTTTAGATGGATTTTTGGTTTTTATATTAATTTCTTAGGTTGTTTTTGTATTTGGTGAGAGTCGTATCCTTGTGTGATATTTTTGTGCATCTTGCTCTAACGCTATTTCATGACCTTTGCTGCAGAATCTACAATTCATCGGACTTGGCGATCATGGCAGAGGGAGAATTGCAAGTTTAGAAATTATGTTATTGGGAAAGCACCCTAAATTGAGAATTTTGTTCTTACAAACTTTCATGCTATCATTTTCATATTATGGCACTCTGTTGTTGTGATATCATCGGATTATTTCGGTAGACTTACAATCCTTTTTAGGCTTTAAGCCTTTGATGTGTGATGCGTTTTTTCAAATTTTTGTTCCAGATTATCGTGTTTGTTTTGTTGATGTGAGAAGGCATTTCCTTGAGAACACATATACGCACACAACACACCGTTACTATTCCCCAGTTTTAAATTTTATAATTTTATACAGTGCTATTAATGGATATTTTTTCAAAGGTATATTTATCGAATAAATCAAGCTGTTAAGTGAAATTGTATCGTTGACAGGGTAATTCGACCCTACCCTTGTCTACTGGCATACGTGCAGGATATCAAGTGGTTGTTATAATTAAGCAATCTTGTAATCAGTATGTGATCCTAACAACAGGTGTGTTTGTATAGGAGGGTATGGGTTTGGAAAAGTTTATAGGGCTTATGAAAGTAATTTAGAGAATATATATATATATATATATATATATATATATATATATATATATAGCATAATTTAATAAGTTTTTTAGTATAGTTTATTGTAATAAGTGTATTTTTAACTTTAAAGTTTTATGATTAAATATACGATGGATAATTGCAGAAAAAATATATTATTAAATAAGTGTCTAATTAAATATTTTATTAATTGTTTACTCGACAAATTATTGCATGGGGGTATATTCCATCTATTTGATTATAAAAATTTCAATTATAAAATTAATTGGCATAAGGTGAAAAGGAAGATTTTGTGGAATAATTTTTAACGGACAACAAAGAGTGTCTAATACTAAAAGTTAAATAATTATAATTTTTAAAGTAATATATTAAAAATTTATAATATATGAGCATGTCGATTTTTTAAATAATTTATTAGAAATATCATGATAATAATAAAGTGTCTTAAATGTTATATCAACTATTAAATTTTTATTTTTCTTAAAATTACAAATTTTCTTTGTTTTCCAAATTTTTATTAACATTCTACGAATAAAACATCCATTTGATTGATTGATTTTAGATTATTTATGGAATAATTAGAAATTCTTTACAAACCAATTGGATAGATTTTGAGAAAATTATGAATTATTGACCATGAGTGTACTTGATAACATAAGCTTATAATTATGTAAGATAATATATATTTTTTATTAATAAGTTAGTAATATATTAAAAATTAACATACGAGAATGTCGATTTTTTAAATAATTTATTAGAAAAATCATGATGTTAATAATGTGTCTTAAATGTTATATTTTTTTATCAAAATAATTTCAAGGTTATTTATAACAACTATTAAATTTTTATTTTTCTTAAATTACAACTTTTCTCTTTGTTTTCCAAATTTTATATACATTCTCTGAATAAAACATTCATTTGACTCATTGATTTTAGATTATTTATGGAATAATTTAAACAATTAGAAATTTTTTACGAACCAATTGGATAGATTTTGAAAAAATTATGAATTATTGTTTATTGACCATAAGTGTGCTTATAACATAAACTTATAATTATGTAAGATAATACATTTTTTATTAATAAATTAGTAAATTATTTGATAAACAGAAAAACAAAATTAGCTTATAAATTTTGAAAGCTAACTAAAGAAAAAATAGTATAAGTAACATTTGAATAATTAGAAGATAACTTTTAATTTATATTTTTATTTCTATTGTTAACTTTTAAAATAATTTATACTCACACAAATTAACAATTACTTTTTTTCACTTGTTAACATATTTTAGTTAGCAGCATAGTTAATTTTTATAAAATAATTCTAATTCAATCATAGTTATTAAATTTTAGTTGTTATAAATTTGTATTTAACTTATTATTATAACTATAAGCTTTTAACAAATTTTATTAAACAATATCCTGGTAACAGTACCTTGTTAAATGTTATGTTTTACATCTAAATGACACCTAGTTTGTATTTGGATAAGACATTTTAAACTTTTATAATTCACGTATTCGAACTGTAAACAAAATTTTAATCAAATAATTTTTATATAAAATAGAAAGAATTTCATGACTTGATTAAAAAATAATTTAAAATTCTTTCTATTATGCTTAACTTTTTATATTTATCATTCTTAATTCTTCTTATATTTTTCTACTTTCAAAATGCTTTATTATTGCTTTCATATTTTCTAGAATTTTACAATTCTCTCTCTAAGGACAATCCTAGGGTCCATTTGGTAAATATAATAATAGGATTGAGAGTTTAAGAGTGGAAACTGGTCAGTTTAATCGGGTTCAGGTCTTGAAACTCAAAATCGAGGCTAATAAACACAAGCTATAAATGAACCGTTCTCAGCATGTGGTCCTTGGTTATTTCAAGTTTTGGATATGGTAGTACTCAATCTTCTGGGGCGAATTAGCTTAGTAAACTTGTACTCGATTTTGTATAATCTCTTTTCATTTTACCAGCCATTTTTGGGCGATTTCATAGGGGTTGTATATGCATAGTGAGTGGAGAGGAAACAAAAATTTTAGAAGGGAAATAGAAAATATGACAGAGAAAACACAAAATAAAACCAAAAGAGACCATTGGCAATGCAAGGGAGGAGGAAGAAGATGTTGTTGTGAGAAACCATTACACAGTCACAAAGAGAAATAGATTCACAATCACGTCAGAGAAATACATACGGAGATACACTTACATTAATTAATTTTGAATTGGCTTAGCAACTTTGCCATTAGAAGGCACAAACTTTTCTCAGTTTTTATATTATGTCATAATGACCATTGATACTAAGCAATCAATTCTCCAAACTATCAAACACGCTAATAATATAATGGACTCACGCGGATTTAACTTTCCTCTTTATCTTTAGTTTTTGACATATTCTCTCATCCACTAAAAATCTGCATTACCAAGAAATTTCAAACCTAAATCACCATGCCAATTCCTCATCTTACAGTTAAAATGTACTAAGTTTTTGATCAATTTAAATCCAAACCTACTCTAAATTATTCAATTAATAATTTCAAATTACTCCCTCCAGTTTTTTTTTTTTTTATAAAAAATAAAATGAAACATTTCTTTAGTTCTTATTATAAAAAATAAATGATAGATTCAAGAAACATTAATTGTTAAATTTTTTTTATATTTTTTTTTATTAATATTATTAATTATGTAAATTACTAACTACAATATTTAATATCATGAATATTTTTGGAATAAAGTTTATATTTATGAAAAATATAAGTAACTTAATTGTTTTCTTTAGTTCTAGAAATTTAGTCTTTTATTTCCTATAAAAATAATCGAAAGTAGTATCAATTAGTTCAATTTCAATCCAACATTGAATCATTGCTCACTCCTTATAAGAGATTGATAAATATAAGATACATTAAGATAATAAAACATATGATATTGTATCATTATTTCTAATATTTGAGATAATAAAAATTAATAGAGCAAAATATAATTTATATTTAAATGAAAATATACTCGTTTATCAAGATTAATATGATTTTTAAAATTATTTTTATTTAAATTTTTTACTTTTCAATGTGTATACACATATATTAAAATTTTTAAAATATTTTCATGTACATATAATATTAAAATTTGATATTAAATTATAATAATTTTATTCTATTTTTTTAAAATTAAAATTTATTTTAAGGAAAGAAATTATAAAAAGTTTTAAAATATAATTTTCTTAAAAATTACAAATTTTTAAAATATATAACATTTTAAAAATATTTTATTAAAAACGTTCAAATAATTTTTAATAAAAATATTAAAATTATATTTCTTAAATAATTATTTTTAATAAAACATTAAAAAATATTTAAAATATGAGTAAAAATATTATCATATTCTACGGATTTTTAACGTATCACCCTGTTATAATAAAAATTTAAACTAAAATAACATGATATAAAAATTTCAATTATGATAACATGACATAAGAACACAACAGACATATCTTATTAATTAACAAATATGAAAAATAAAATAGAATAAGATAAATAATTCTATCTTATCCACCAAATAAAAATGGTTAATATACTAAATTAATACAATATTAAAGTAATTAATATCTAAATAATGACAAAGTTTGAAATTCTATTTATGTCTGTGACGTAATTTTATTTAGTTGAAGAATAATACTTACATGCCTTTCTAAAGCTCGGAATGAAAGATATTTGTCCTAATATAAAAGCATTCATACTTCCAATTTAAAAACCCAACTTTCTTTAGTTTCATTCAAACTCACTTATTGATATTCTTAAAAAAATTTATTTGAACTTTTCTAAATTACCAACATTTCAATTATTTGACCACATTTGAAAAATGTTTTACAAAAATAAATAAGTTATATAACTTAATTTTTTTTAAAATTAAACTACAACTATTTTTTAGACAATTTTTCATTAATTATTGCATATATTTATGTTATATATATATATATATATAAGAGACATTTTAAGTTAGAGGAGTTTGTTATTATGAGGATTGAAAGACATTAATAATAGCTATTGAATTAAATAAAGAGCTTAGATTTGATGTTTTTACCTCACTGTCTACTTTCTTTTCTCTCTTGCCAATTAATTCTCATAATGCTTTTCACTTCTTGTAATAACAAACTCCTCTCACTTAAAATGCTATATATATATATATATATATATATATATATATATATATATATAATATGAGAAAAGATTTTCTTATACCAGTGTAAGTCTAAAAAATTTTATACTTAGTCTAAATCTTTTATTTAACTTATATCTAATAGCCAGTAAAATAATAAATTATAATTCGTTGATGTAAGTTAAATGAAAAGTTTAGATCGAATATAAGAGTTTTTAAAATTATCTAAATATAAAAAGATTATGCTATATATATATATATATATATATATATATATATTTTAAACTTATTTTACAAGTCAATAAAAGAGTTATTAGAAGAATATAACAAAATTCAATATTTTGTTAGGCATATGTCCGTTGATCCTTTGTATTTACATTTGTGACATGTTTTCGGTATTAACTTCATTTCTTGGTATGCATAAGTTTCTTTTATTTAAGTTTCCAAAATTTCTTTGGAGTTTCAACCCATTTACTGTTTTTCCTTTTAAAAAATCTTGATAAAAAAAAATTCTAAAATAATGAAGACTTTAAAGGGATGCCTGAAAAGAGGGATTTTGAAAAGGGTAGAGAGGATAAATTTTTATAAATATATTTAAAATAAAAAATATAAATTGATATATTAATTATATATTTATTATTATAAATAATATATAATTTTTTAATTTAAAATTAAATAATACATTCTTTTAATTTTTTTTCTAAATATTTTCTCCCAAACATATCTTAATAAAAATAAATTAGACCATCTCAAAATTAAAAAGACTCAAAACTAAGGATAAAAAAAAAAATTTCACCCAATCATTTTAATATAATATTTTATAGTCATTTAAATATAGGATGAATAATTCATTAATTACTTTTCACTCAAGACAGTTTTTTTTTTAGTTTTATTATCTATAATTAATGATGGTATGACACGAATATACTATTAATAATTTAATTAATTTCTATTCAAATGCTATTTTATTTTTATTTTTATCAGCAAGTTTATTTTTCATGCAATAACATAACTCAACCTTTAATAAAAATAAAAAAAGATAAATTTTATTTTCATTCTGTTGTAGATAAAATTTATATTTAATGCATGCATTATTTTATATGCAAGTGAAATTTGACATACCTCATATTAATATTATTAGCATAGAAACTATATATAAATATTAAAAAAATTACTAAAAGTATGCAATTATTAAATTGAATAAATAATATTTAAGCATATTTTATTAAAACGTATCAATAAGGAATTTGAAAAGGTATATTATACGTAAATAAGTAAAAAATAAGTATTTAAAAGGTATTGGATTAATAAATATTTTAATTTTCTTTATTTATGTTAATATATTTGATAAAATAAATATTTTTGGAATTTATGAAAAGCTTAAAACATGTTTTTATACGATTTTTTAAACGAGCATATTTAATATTTAAAGATTAAATTGATGAATAAATGAAGATCTTAAGATTAAGAATATATATAAAATTAATTATTAATTCCAATAAATAAATAAATTTAATTTCTTAAATATTGATATAAATTAATGAAACATATTATATAAAGACTTAATTATATTATTTCTTTTTCTAATTTAAATTAAAACTTTAGTTTTTAAATTATTTGAGCCAATCAGTAGTGCTTTTGAAAGCTTTTGTATATATGAAAGTAATAACATAATGTGTCAAGAAAAACACACGTCTGTGACACGTTTCTAGTCATGCAATAAGACAATTTAATAAAATCGTGTTTTTTTAATTATTTTATAAAATATTACAAATCAAATTAATTTACTTGTTTTTCGCTCAAAACTAATGAACTAAAATATTAAATTTAACTCAAAATAGAAAATTTCAAAATTTCCTTTCTTTAAATTTTAATTTAAGATCTTATCAAATTCTTTCAAATTTTATTAAATATTACTCATTTTTTTTAAATTTAAAATAATTTATGGTGTAATTTTAATATAAATTTCTATAAAAATTAGATGAAAATATAATTTTAAAATTTAAATTAAAAAATTAACTAATACAAAATTTACATAATTTTAAAGATAAAGCTTTAATAAACTCAAAAATTAAAAAATGTAATTAAATCTTACATAAAATATGTAAGAAGAAATTTGAGGTTTATTGTAATAAAGGAAGATACAGACATACAGTGACGATGTAATAACAACGTTATTTTTTCAAAAATTGCAGAGAATGTTTTGGGCATAAACTAATAAAAACGAGCGCATGCAATCGAGCAGTGATTCAGCTTCCATTCATTCAATTTCCGAGACTCCATTCCCGACACATCAGTAAGAATCTCCTCTTCCTCTTCTCTTTTTTTCATTTGTCTTTTTCTTCTGCAAATACTACAAATTATGAATTCCTCTATTTTGATGAACCCAAATTTTTTTGGCGGGTTTCGGTTCCATATCCTGCATCTTGCTGCATGCATTGATTAGGGTTTTCGTTTTTCAATTTCTGTTAATTTTTTTCACATAAAAAGATCGTTCTTTTATCAGAACTAAGGGTCCCCAGAGTTTCATTTTTATCTTGGGACAAGTGTTGTGCTTTTATTTTTTATTTTTTCAGTTTTAAAATTTCACAAATTTAATTTCAGTTTAACAGAATTTGGGTGATTCAGATTCTGGTTTAGGTTTTAGAAGCAGCAATAACAATGAATAATCAAGGAAAGAACGTTGCTGCATCACCCTTGTTTGGCCATTCTGGAATTGCTCCACAGCCAAACCAACCCAACACCATGAACCAACATAGAAGCCACCCTCAAACCCAATTCCAAGGTCTCTTTCAGTTTTCAGAGCCTCATTCCCAGGTGCTTGCACAAGCTCAGTATGCACAAGCACAATTGCAGTCTCAGGCTGCACGTGCTCATCAACACTTGCATAATGGGAATACTAATGCTGCTAATGTAACATCAACACCGGCCACTGGAAGCGCCAAGCGAGCAACCCAAAAGCCCCCTTTGCGGCCTCATGGTTCATCCAATGCGAACCAATCCACGCCATTTAAGACCATGGAGTTGACCCCCGCTACTCAGCGAAAGAAGAGAGAGTTCCCGGGGAAGCAAGAAAAAGTGGCTTCACTTCTGCCTGAGTCTGCTCTTTATACTCAGTTGCTTGATCTTGAGGCTCAGATGAATGCTGCTTTGGCCATGAGAAAGAATGATATACAGGAGGCTTTGAGGTTTCCCCCTCATGTTCAGAAAACTCTTCGTATTTATGTGTTTAATACCTTTTCAAATCATGCAAAATTAGATGCCGAGAATCAAAAGGCTGATGAGTCTTCTTGGTCTCTCAAGATAACTGGAAGAATATTGGAAGATGATAAGGATACTGAGTCTGGAATTTCACAGAGATCAAGTCCTTTGTACCCAAAGTTCTCTGATTTTTTCAAGAAAATTACCATATGCTTGGATCAAAGTCTTTATCCTGATAATCATGTCATTATATGGGACAGTGCTTGTTCTCCTAACCAACAGGATGGTTTTGAGGTGAAGAGAAAAGGAAGCAAAGAATTCACTGCAGTGATTAGACTAGAAATGAATTATTCACCTGAGAAGTTTATGGTTTCATCACAACTTTCTAAACTTTTAGGGATTGATGTTGAGACTCGTCCGCGAATATTAGCTGCTCTTTGGCACTACGTGAAGTCCAGGAGGCTACAGAGCCCAAATGACCCATCATTCTTCATATGTGATCCTTCTCTACAAATGTTGTTTGCGAAAGAGAGGATGGATTTCACCATGGTCTCTAAGAAGTTATCACAGCATTTGTCTCAGCCACAGCCTATACATCTGGAGCATAACATCAAGCTTTCTGGAAATTCTCCAGCTATTACTTCATGTTACGATGTACAGGTTGATGTTCCTTTTCCACTGGAGAAGGATAAGTCCGAATTCTTGGCAAGCCTTGAGAGTCAAAAAGAGATTGAAGCTCATGATGAGGTGATTTCTGCTTCCATAAAGAAGATTCAGGAGCATCGTAGAAGACGGGCTTTCTTTCTTAGCTTTAGTCAGTCTCCAACAGAGTTTATTGATACTATGACTGCTTCTCAGAGCAAGGATCTAAAACTTGTTGCGGGAGATGCCAGCCATAATGTTGAAAAGGAACTGAGTTCTGAATTCTACAATCAACCATGGTAAGCATTATGCTGATGCTTTATCCTTTCTCTTTTTGTTGTGAGGCATGTGTGCATAAAGCATTTGTTTTTTGGTACAGTGATGACCTGCATGTGAATTGGGAGTTGAATATATTGGCAATCATACACATAAACAAAGAAGCTGCATCTATATTAGACACTTAGGTTAGACACAGCATAACACTTCGTAAAAAACCTAGACCTTTTAGATTTTGATTGTCAGTGTCCATGCTTGGGTTGCAACTGATAGGAAATTGTAATACAAAATCGAAGGGCTTCACACTGAACATGCTGCATAGTTATTTATCAGACAGAAAATATAAGTAACACAAGGATGTCCAGTAGGTTGAATCTCTCCCTATCCTCCCAATCCTTATATAAGTATAGTACTCGGTTGACAATATTCTTGAATTATGTTAAAATATTTTTTAACTTTTTTGTGTTTTTTTATTATATTTTCAGGGTTGAGGATGCTGTCATTCGTTACTTGAACCGCAAAACAGCTGGAAGTGATGCTCCTGGGCGCAACTAAGAAAAAATTGTATAGGAGTTTCTATTTTATTTTCTAACAACTCTATATGGTTTCTTTTCATAATCTTTTTGTGAGGGAAGGGTATCCCACCTGAGGAAAGGAACAAAGAAAATGTTTTTTAGATAGTGAAATTTGAGGTGTGATACTGATCACCAAAAATTGTCATACATACCTTATTGAATGCTGTACAGAATTTCAGGGGTTTTGGCTGCGCCTCAGCTCATTTTGAGTCTCTCAACTCATGTCCTAATACCCATTATGATAGAGGTTGACTGAAGAAAACATTTATAATCATCAAAATAGATTTATTCTTATTTTTCTTTTTGATTGAGTTAGGTAGGTTTATTTGATCAGTGTAATCAATCTCTTTAGGTGAAATAAAGCTTGGTTGATACACTATTCAGTTTGTGGTAAGCAAATTCAAAATATTAATCAGTATGTTCTCATTACAATTTTTAAAAAATAAATTATAAAACATTTGACTCTATATTTTATAAACACGACAATTTAACAAAAAATTAAATTCTAATTCATTTGATAAATGTAACAAAAGAAAAAAAACAAGCTTGGATTGGTAATATTTTAAATGCTTTTATCATACATATAGGGTGCATTTGAATAATAATTTAATTAAATGCTCATTTAATAAACTATTGTATAAATGGTTTATATATAAAACTAGAACATGTTATTTATTGACATAAGCTGAACAAATATTTGTGTTGGGATGTTTTGAAGGTAGTAAGCACTTCACTTGTCCTTATTTATCAATGATTTGACATTGCCACTTCACACTTGATTTTTTAAAACCTAATCAACGGTCAAAGTAAATGATGCATTCTTATTTTTTGTTAAAAAATAATGCACAATTTATGAGGCACATTTTTTACTTCGGCCACAGTCGATTCCTATTAGGCCCTTAATGGTGAGTGTGGGGTTGAAGTCTTGGAAGTGATCGACATGAAGAATAATTCCTTTTAATAATTATTTGTTCTTTTGTCTTCAGATTAAATCATTATTTGGTTAAGTTCAATACATGTTTAATTTTAATTATTTTGAAGGATTTTTTTTCAGTTTAAATAAGTTATTATTAAAACAAAAATTTCCATGGACAAACCATTTAGGTAAATACAAAACAGTAAAACAGGTATATAATTTTTGTTAAAACTGGGACAAAATAGATGGGAAATATAAGGGGAATTCCATTGTGCTTTAAATTAGTGGAAATTTGCTGAAATGATTTGATAAAAAAAAATTCCTCAGATGATAAATGATAATATAGAAAATGATCATAAAATTAAATCATAAGTGATTTTATTTTGTTAATTAAACATAAACTGCATGGAAATAGTGTAGACGGATAATTTTTTTTCCCATACCAAAAAAATGTTTTGCTACCATGTTGCTGCTGAATCAATCAAAATTAAAAGAAAAATATTAAATAGAATAATAGGAAATGGATAACAATATTTTATTTGGCGCCAACTTTCATTTCAAAGTCTGGCTGACTCTTTTTTATTAATTAAATTTATATCAACAACTAAATATTGATAATTTTTTTAATTATATATATCATAATTTTTTTTAAAAGGATAGAAGTAAGTTTTGAAAGAAAATGAGGAAAAAAAAAACTTCCTTTTCCATAAACTAATTCATCTTATTTTAATTTTTGGTTTTGGATAAATATCTCTCGTAGAAGTCAAAAGAGAAGAGAAAGAATATATCTTCTCAAACTAAGTTTGTTTTGGAAGTAACCTATTTATTTTAAAGGAAAAAAATAAAAAGAAAAAATTAAATTAAAAATATAAATTTTATTTTTACAAATTAAATAAAAACAAATTATCATCAATTTTTTCATTTATATTTTGTATTCAAACAAATCATGAAATATATAAATAATTTATCTATCTTGTACAAATTTGTACATGGTAAGTCTTATTAATCATATACTTTTAATTAATTATTTTAATATCTCTTACTTTTTAAATTTTCAATAGTATCTTATCTCATAGTGCAATTGTAAATCTATATAAAAAATAGAAAGGGCAAAAGGCAGGTGTAAATAAAATCAATCATTAATGAATGAAACAAAACTAATGCTTGTTAGTACATAAATATCAATCATTATTGTCCGGATAAAACGGAGTACAGGCGCATGTTAGCATGGCACGCCATGTCTTCGCCCATAGTAAAGGTAAGATGAGGATGTGTCACAAAAATTAATGCAACTTTTGGATAAGCATCACCACAACGTAGGACAGAGACATGAGGTGGACCACTACACTCCATCACACACAATATGTACTTTCATCATATTTGCCCACGTTTTCTGAAGTCAACAAACTATGTTCACAGTATTCAAATCGAACGGTAACGATCCTAGGTGTAGGAAGTAGCTGTAAAGGTTAGTAGATTCAGGTGTCCTTTTCTTCAGTTATATATGAAAATGTGTAAAAGGAATAGGGATCCTAAACTTGTCAGCATTGCAATTCTAGAGATAGAGAGATAGAGTAATGGCAACATTGGGAGAGAGTCCACGGAGCCCAGAGGCAAAGCTGGGGATGAGAGTGGAGGATCTGTGGGATGTTCAGGAACCACAACTAAGTCCTAATGAGAAGCTCAATGCATGCTTTGAAAGCATCCCTGTCTCTGCTTTTCCTCCTCCTCCTTCAAATCAAGGTAGTTATTCACTGTGTATTATATTAATACTTACATCCCATACCAATTCTAAGGGATGACTGAAAAAAATGGATTTTGATTATACCCACATGAAAACTGGTCTAGTATCTGTTGACTCACTATGCACATGTTTTAGGATGATATGATGTTGATTGTTGACAGGCCCTTTTCTTCTCATACTATATCTATAGTCTGTTATGGTATGCACCCTTTATCTCTTTCGGTTTTACCTTGTAAAGTTTAACCTCTTTTTTTGGTTGTGTTCAGAAATTGAGATAAAATCAGATGCAACCCTGGCTGAAGCTGTAAAAATACTTGCACAACACAACATTCTGAGTGCACCTGTGGTGGATGTTGACGCACCTGAAGATGCTAGTTGGATTGACAGATATATAGGAATTGTTGAGTTTGCTGGAATTGTTGTATGGATTCTGCATCAGGTTAGCAACTTAGCAAATCAGTTGATTAGTTACCTATATGTCAAGCTTCCTCCTCTCCCCTCTCCCCTCTCCCACGGAAAAATCCGTTATATGAAAAATGATGTGGATAGCTTATTTGTGGGTTTAATAAAGCTGAGAAGTGAGAAATTTCTTAGAGAATGTAAAAACATGCTAATAGGATTATTTCTGTATTTTCTTTTATTTTATTCTCTGTAAGTTTAAAACCATGCTAGGATGCTAAATTGAATATAGTACTACTACTATGTCTAACATTAATCAAATATTCTTCTCGTGGGGTTAATACAAATTTTGTTTGTGATGTGATTGTTTCTTGCATGATTGTGTTTCCAATTTAATCATGAACTATTTGGAAATGATAAGATACATGGTTATTGTTGAAGTGATTTTCATGGGTGCTTCATTTTTCACACTCTTTCAATTAACGTTGTTGACAGTCTGAACCTACATCTCCTAGGAGTCCATCCAGTGGAACTGCTACTGCAGCTGCAGCTAATGGAATGGCTTCTGCTCCAGAAAATGAAGTTTTAGGCCTAGGATCTGCTGCCACAACTTCAGGCAACTTTTTTGAGGACCTCACTTCTTCTCAACTTTATAAGAATACCAAGGTTGTATATTACCCTTATCAATGTGAAAGAAAAAGATACTTTTACTTAACTTGATCTGATATTACTGTTGTCACTAGCTAATTCTTTAGCAAACAGGTTGGTGATATTTCAGGATCATTCCGCTGGGCACCATTTCTTGCTTTGGAGAGATCAAACTCATTTTTGACCATGCTTTTGCTGCTTTCAAAATACAAGATGAAGAGTATTCCTGTGGTGGACTTGGGTGCAGGTAGAATTGATAACATTATTACACAGTCTGCTGTAATTCACATGTTGGCAGAATGTGCTGGTCTACAGTGGTTTGAGAGTTGGGGAACCAAGAAACTGTCTGAAGTTGGCCTTCCCATGGTGAAACCAAATCAAATCATCAAGGTGGGTAACTGTCTTAATTTTAAGTTCTGCATCATGATGGGAAATTTTGTGTTGTACCGCCCGTTAACTTCCAATCAAACTACTACATATTGCCGTACCCCTGCTACAACACATGATTGTATTGGCATAACTCTATGATATACAGTACATAACTTAAATACTTTACATTTACACTAACATTAAGCTTTCTTAAAATATGGCAAACCATACTTTCTATAATCCATTATGCCTTCAACCCTCACAAGACACCTCCTCATGGTTTGCATGGGTTGTATACGTATATAAGTGCATACATTCATCTACTTTGCTATAATATGGTACACCTCAAATTTCTCACTGCATTGAATGTGTCAAGTAAGATCATGGATTCCCCGTGATTCTAGAGCAAAAGCTTCCCTAGATGTCTTAGGAGCTTATAGCCTGTGCACCCTCAAAATATATGATTAACCATCGAGTTATTTCCTTTCCCCATTCATGTAGCTCGTTAATCTTTATTAACTTCACAATAAACAACTTTCCTTGTTTTCAGGTTTACGAGGATGAACCAGTGCTTCAAGCCTTTAAACTGATGAGGAAAAAGAGGATTGGAGGGGTGCCTGTGATTGAAAGGGGTGGCAGTCGAGCAATTGGTAATATAAGCCTTCAAGATGTTCAGTTCCTCCTAACTGCTCCTGAAATCTACCATGATTATAGGTTTGTTATCATTTTTTATCTGATAAATAGCACCTTTTATATACAGTAATGCACATGTTTGGATGTTCTATCCGTTACATACTAATTACATGCTCACACTTTAACAGAGCTATTACAGCAAAATACTTCCTGACTGCCGTTAGAAGCTACTTAGAGAAGCATGAAGGGGCCTTTCCAATGTCAAGTGACTTGATTACATGCAAAAAGGACTTCACAATCAAAGAATTGATTCAACTGCTTGATCATGAGAAGATTCACCGGGTCTATGTCATTGACGATGATGGTAATCTTGAAGGATTGATCACACTGAGAGATATCATCTCAAGGCTAGTACATGAGCCTCGTGGTTATTTTGGTGATTTCTTTGATGGGGTTTTCCCAATGCCTCCAAACAGCAGGGTTTGACAAGGATCCAGGAAGAATAACTTCTGTTCCATCAGCTTTTTTAGTATAACAAATTGTTTTGTTTCTCATCAGAGCTGATAACATGGTCTTAGAATCTTAGGGTCTTTGTAACATAAGCAATTTGCACTTGGGAAGTTGCTCTCTTGTACGTAAAACTAGTGAAAGTTATATTTTGTACAAATTCTGATGTAATAATAATGGACACATTTTCTTTTGAACAAGTTGATCCTTAATCACATTATGCCTTGAGATACTACTATGCAATAAAGAGCCAAGGAGCTTAACAGAACCACAATAATTACTGGGTATGTTGTTTTTATTTGTCGTGTTTGGAACAACCGTAATCGAAGGTGAAAATTGCATCAATGTGTAATAAGTTGGGAATTCGTACTTGATAGTTTGTTTCGAACATTTGTAACTTAAGTTAGAAGTTTCAAACCAGTAATCCAATCTATTGGGATTTTGCACCTGCAAACTAATCCATAAAGGGAACGCAAACATCATGTTTGCACCAGTTCACTTGAGGAAACAAACAGAAAATCAAGAGAAATAGAGTGTTTAAATGGAAAAGAAAACAGCTCCATCCATTATACTATAAATTTTACAAAATTGTTGCATTTGAGTTTTCTGAACTAAAAAGCGTGACTATTAACAGCTTTTTTCCCCCAAGAATACCAAACTACTCAAATGATCCCGCCAGATAAGGCTGTGGCCCGAATGATACCACAACTCCCCACCAAAAAGGTTCACACAAATTCGATTGCTGGGCATGTCATCTATGTCCTCCTGCCATACCCAAAAACAACAAAAAAATAAAAATCCAAACTCAGATCAAACTGAAATCACCATCATGTATCAGACATAACATTATACTTAAACCGCAATATTTGACTAACATTACATTGTGCCATGAGCTACTAAAAAAAAATTACAAAAGTGACAAATTAGAGAATTGTGAATAAAAAATGGGTGGCCCAGTGCCCCTGGTTCCCACCTGGTGGGGTTTGGGGAGTGTAGCAACCTTTACCCCACGAGCGGAGGGGTTGTTTCCAAGATTTGAACCATGAAACTTACCATTGCACCAAGGTTCACCCCTCAGAATTGTCAACTTTATTACATAAAATTATGTATACTCAAAATTTTGCATGTGTTTTTGTTGAGCTCCAAGATGGAGCAACAATCCAACCTTAGAAAGAAGAAAAAGAAACAAAAAGATTTCAGAGTAACTCAATTACTCAAGCAGAAACTTGATATGAAATTGAATTCAGATTATTTTAGTAATCAGTTCACAAACTGAATTGAAAACTGCTCCGTGCAAAAAAGAATAGGAAGGACTTTTATGGTTAATTTTAAATTATTTCCTCATCTCCTTTCAATTCTAGCAAATATAAAACACGCAGATTTTAGGGAAAAGCCTCATAAATTTAGGTTTCAGCAAAGCACAGATCCGTCTCTTAAGTAAGCAAAGAACATCAACACAACAAGCATCCATTTCATTTGCTCTATTTTCTTAATTGACACCAACAAATATGGTCGCCGCCCCCACTCCTCCCCCAAAATATACAAACCCACCCAGTCTCCCACCCACCCATGCCCCATAGAAAGAAAACTTCAAATATGAAACACTGGATTGATTTCTCACCTTCTCCATCTAGTAGGATAAAGCTTTATTGAAACCTGACCAATTAATTGAATTATAATTAGCTAAACTCTCCTATTCAAACAAACAAGGAAAATCAATACCCTATCTCATTCTCTTATACTTGCATGACTACCATATATCAGATAGGCGTATGAAGAAAACTGAAGTAAACTACCGATCAAATCACAGGCCAAGCTCAAGTTAAAATTTCAAAAACATAAAATTTCAAAAACATTGCCCGTTAAAATTTGCCAACTTTGTTCACTAAGAGACATTCTGGATAAATCCAGAAGCAACAGGCTGCAATTTAGTCAAGCATACCATTCATTGTGAGACATCATGTCAGAAACTCCATTGATTTACTGGTATTAACGCCCATTTGGTGCCTCATCCTGACAACATATAACAATCTCTTAGAAAATCGCACAGCCAATATAAGCATAAAATTTATATTCCAATTCAACCTGGATAAAAGAAAAAACTTCACATCCAAACTATAATTAGAAAATGTTTACCATGGTTGAAAACTGGTCTCTAATACTGTGCATCGCTTTCAGCATCGTCCCTAGAGAATCTGTAGCCAACTGGAACTTCACATCCATCTCTCCCGCGTGAAATTGAGTATCATTTTGAAGCTGAAAAGGAAGCATTCAAAACTATATATTCACATAAAACCACATTTGATCATTTTACATACAAATACAAAACACATACACATGGATTTGTGCGTGTTTGGTATTACGTTGAAAAATCTGTAAACGTGAATCCAACGCAGAAGCTACAATTAATAGCGTTGAAATCATACTCATTCAAACATGAATCAATACAGGTTAAAAGTGAAAACACTTAATTGATATCGACATCTGTTACTTACTTGTCGTTTATTTTTAAAAAAAGCAAGTACAGCATAATAAGAGACGGTATTTCGTATTCCCTATTTACCTTCAAATTAATAACAGCAGCAGGGTCAGGTGATTCTTTATCCAGATTCGCCATATTCCAAGTCATTGCCTTTAACCGGGGAACAATATTCTGAAAATAAAAACAATAATGAGATTAAGGTATTCCAATGGAGCTCACAATTAACAGTAAAATAGTTGACCTGATCTTTGAGGACGTCGTCTTGCCACTCTGACTGAAACTTGTGCAGCAAAAGTGTCAACAGTTTTTGCAATTCGGGGAGAACTTCACTGGGAAACAGCTTGGGAATATCGTCCTTGCAAGTGTTCTCATAAACACACCTTCTGATTAAGGTTCGGAGGCAAACGAGAAGTGGGTCGAGGTCGGATTCATTTTGGAGTTGGAGCATTTCTTGAATCATGCGTCGATCAGTAGAGTGAAGACCGCTCTTTCGGGTTCTCCAAAGGGTTTGAAGAATGTATTCAATGGATTCCTTGGAATTGGCTCTTACCAGAACTGGTAAATGACTCCATACCGTTTCCTCCATTCCCACCCCAAACCACTGTCTTCCTTCCTCACACACACAATCCAAATTATAGCTTACACATTTATAATTAAACAGTTGGTATGTTAATTCAAGAAAATTGTTAATCAGATGAATTTAACTACCTCCACTATTTTATTCAAAAAAATATCTTTTTTATTTTTAATATAATAAATTTTAACTAGAAAATCATTATTTTTAAATATTTATAATTTATTTTAAAGTTTGAAATTAATGAAATTATTCAATTCATATAGTTTTGCTTTATTTTTTTTTTAATTTAGACACTTTTTTTTAAAATTTTTTGTTAATTTTAATTATTAAATTGAGTTAAAGATTAAGAAATAATACATTTTTACTAAAAAATATTTATTATATTAAATATATAAACATCTAATAAATATTTTTTTAATAAAAATTTATTATTATTAGTTAATTTAATTCAAGAGTTAAAGTTAATAATTTTTTGTATTTGAAAAGCAACGCTTTTTCATTTTATGCTTAAACGTGAATTTGTAATATATATATATATATATATATATATATATATATATATATAAAACAAAAATATAATTAATTTTTAATAAAAATTTATTATTATTAGTTAATTTAATTCAAGAGTTAAAGTTAATAATTTTTTGTATTTGAAGAGCAACACTTTTTCTTTTTATGTTTTAACGTGAATTTGTAATATATATATAACAAAAATATATTGATATCACGTTTAGAAAAAAATATGATATATATAATTTTTTAAGTGTTTTAAAATATTTTTTTTATCACTTATTAACTTAATATATTTTATAATTATATTTACAGTGCTAACTTTTTATATAATTAAGATTAATTAAATAAATATTTAATTAGGTTATTTATTTATTTTGGTCTAAATAAACATTTTAGGTCAAAAAATAAGTTTTTTTATTTTATTTTTTGTCAACAAGAAGTAATTTTTATTTATTTTTGGTCACGAAGTAAATTTTTATTCTTTTATGAGAGTTAATTTTTATAAGAACCTTTTTGCTCTTAATAATATTTTTTTTTTATGTTTGATGCTCCTAACCTTTTTTTTATAGGTTTAGGCTTCACTCATTCAAAGATTGCATGTTGTAGCAAATCTTGACGAGATTTGGTAATTTTTCTTTAGTACGGGGAGCTACAAGTCTGCGGGTAGGTGTTGATGGTCTACATGCTTTATTCTTCAAATTCCTATGAGAATATCTTCATCCCATGATCACAGGCTTTGTTCAAAGTATCTTTACTCCTCCATCTCGAATTAAAAAGGTCAATCACACCCTAATTACTCTTATTTTGAAGATGGACACTCCTAAACATATCAGTAATTTTAGGCCATCTCTTTGTGCAATATGAACTACAAAATCATCACCAAGCTTCTCATTCAGAGACTAAAACATCTTATGCTAGAGCTAGTTTCTCCTAACCAAAGTAGCTTCGTCCTAGGGAGGCAAGGCATTTACAATATCATCATTCTTCAAGAAGCTGTTCATAGTATGCACTCTCTTGAAGGTTATAAGGGATATATGGTTCTTAAGCTTGACCTAGAAAAGGTTTATGACAAGTTAAGATGGGACTTTGTGCAAGATACCCTTATCAAAGCCAGTCTTGGAGGCTTTTTCTCCGATATGGTTATGAGCTGCTGCATCACTTCCTCTTCTTTTGCTTTGAACTGGAATGGAAACACCTATGAGATTTTCACCTCCTCTAGGGGACTTCGTCAAGGAGACCGTCTCTCACCCTACTTAATTATTTTGTGCCTTGAGCGTCTTGTACATGCTATTACTTTTGTTGTTTTTAATAATAACTGGAGACCCCTATTCTTTTGGTAGAAATGGTCTTCACTTAACTCATATTTTCTTTGTAGATGACATCATTCTTATATCAGAGGCTTCTAAAGACCAAGTTCAACTTAAAGATTGATAATTTCAGTTTGGCTTCTAACATCTTTATGAGCAATAACAAGTCTAAAATGGTTTTCTCCCTAAATGTCAACAATCAAATGACTCATTCTCTTGGCAGTCAGCTTGGTTTTACTATTAGTATAGAGTTGGATACCTACCTAGGGACTCCTATCCATATGGTTCGTCCCAACAAGCATGCCTACTCTTTTATCCTAGACAAGATTCGAAAAAAAGCTCTCTAATTGGAAAATTCATCCGCTGTCTATGGCTGGTCGTATCACTCTCACCCAATCTTCCATTTCTAGTATCCTGGCGTATGTCAAGCAAACACACCTCATTTCTCTCAGCATCTGTGATGAAGTGGATAAGTTGTGTCAGAATTTTATATGGGACTCTGCAAATAAGAAGAGAAAGTGTCATCTTATATCTTGGGATTCCATCTTCTCTCCCAAGGATAAGGGTGGACTTGGCTTTAGGAAGCTTAGAAATGTTAATTTGGTGTCTATGGTGAAGGTAGATTGGAGGATCATCACCAATCCTGACTCTCTTTGGGCTAAGGTCCTTCGGCATAAATATAGATGCAGATCTAGTTATGATCCTTAATGCTTCACCTACTTGGAGAGGGATTTATAAGGCTTGGCCTCATATGATCTCTAATGTTAAGTGGAACATTGGGGATGGTCAAACTACAAAATTCTGGTCTAATAAATGGGTTACTAATGATCTCACCTTGGAAGACTTGTCTCATATCGGTATTCCTCATGATATGCGGGATATTCTTGTTGCTACTTATTCTCTCAATGATTCTTGGAATTAGAATCTTATGGGTCAACATGTCAATTCGAAAACTATATCTTTGATTGCTAGCTATCTTCTGCCTCATCCCTCCAAAGGCAAAGATTTCCCTTCTTAGTCCCCTCACAAGTAATGAGTAATTCTCTTTTAAGTCTGCTTATAATTCCTTTCTTGGCTTTAAGGAAGATAATGCCCCAGATAATATCTTCAACAATGTTTGAGTTTGGGAAGGCCTTTAGAAGATCAAGACATTCCTTTGGAAAGAGCTGACTCCTTACTAATAAGAAGAGGAAGAAGTGTCACTTCTCTGCGGATGATAGTTGCGACTATTGTCATAATGCCACTAAGACGATAATGCATGTTCTCAATGATTGCCTCTTTGCTAATATTGTTTGGTCTTCTTTTGTTTTGCAGGATTCTTTGGCGTCATTCTTTAGCCTTGGACTTCATAGATGGCTGAAAGCTAATCTCAATGGGAGCATCAAAATGCAAGAATCGCATTGGAGCATGCTATTTGGCGTGATTGCTTAGTAGCTTTAGAATGCTAGGAATGATCGCATATTCAAGTCTTCTCCTTCCGTCCCCCAGAACATCATTCGTCAATTTATAGAATATGCAATGTTGAGCCATCTTCTCAATAGTTCCTCTAAAAGGATCTTGAAAAGATCCTCCAAAGCTGAGACCTTATCTCTTGGAGTCTCAATATTGAAGGTTCGATCTCTAATACTCCTCTTGAAGCTACTTGTGGAGGAGTTATTCGTGATGATCAAGGTAGATTTGTGTTTGGGTTTGTTTGCAAGATTGGTACATGCTCTGCAATTAAAGCAGAACTTTAGAGCTTACTTGAATGCCTCAAACTCATCAAGGTTCACAATCTCCAACGGGTTGTGATTGAGATGAATTCTAAGATAGCGATACATTTTGCTGAGATGAGCTATGACACCTCTGATGATTATTTTTCTTTTGTTGGAGACATTTGTAACTTTGCCAAGATATCTAATATAATGGCATCTGCCATATCTTTAGAGAAGCAAACAGGAGTGCAACTTATCTTATTAGTATTGTTCATAATCATAGTTTAGGATTCTATCCTATTGTATCTTTTTTTTTTACTCTTGTTCCAATTTTTAGAGAAAAAATATATAATTTTGCTTTTTCTCACCTTATTAACTAGATTTTTTGGGGCCTTAGTCAGTGCTCCCGATGAATAACAAAAGAAAATTATTCTTTATTTTTTGGTGGATAATTTTTAATTGAAATATGTACCTTTGGTCTTTGGAAAAAAGAATTCATGCCGACTCCTTTGTAACTGGACTGGTAAAATAGGGAAATTTATTAAGGCCCGTAATTTAGGGCAAAGAAGGTGGCCCTTTATTGAGCCCATCCATTTTCGACTCATGTCTCCCTCCCTGCGAAATGTTTCGAATCGAAATAACAACTTCTTCTAGCAAATAGAAAGAAACAACTTTGAGCTCGACGGTGAACGCGCTGAACTGAATATAATAAACTCTCTTCTGATTGTAACACTCAAACTGTGACTCTTTCATGGCACCGCACGATCTCCGCCGTCCGTTCAAGCGACCGGCGATCTCCGATCAAGAGAGGCGCAGGGAACAGTCTTTGCTCCGCCAAGCACAGAATCGCCGGGACGCTCAGCATCACGCCCGCTTCTTAGTCTCCACCGCCTTCAATCTTCCATCCCAAACCCCCCACACCAACCTCCCCGAACCAGAACCTGAACCCACCGAAACCCCCGAACCTTCGCACACGGACCTCGACGTTCTCGAGGCCTCGAAGCTGAAACCCTCAGAGGCTCGCAAATGGTTCGCCAAACAGCTCATGCTCCCCGAATGGATGATCGACATTCCCAACAACCTCTCACAAGACTGGTCCTTATCCTTTCTTCAATTCTCTCTAACCTCTTTGCTTCGCAAATCCCACTTAAATTAGTTTCTATCGTTTTCAGGTTTGTTTTCGCTCGTCCCTCGGGTAAACGCTGTTTTGTCGTTTCGTGTAATGGAACGACTATAAGCCGTTTGCGTAACGGTTCCATTCTGCACCGTTTTCCCTCTGCGTTGCCGAATGGGGCAAGGAAGAAGGACTCTTCCTCTGGTTCTTCTCAGTCTTACTCTATATTGGACTGCATCTTTCACGAGGTTACTATTTTCCTTGGTGTGGTTTTTTAACGTTGGTGGTTTTGTTTGGTGACTTGTGTTGTGTGTGATTTTTGTTAATGCAGATGGATCAAACTTACTATGTTATTGACATGGTTTGTTGGCGGGGATATTCGTTGTATGATTGCACTGCGGAGTTCAGGTTCTTCTGGTTGAACTCCAAGCTCGCAGAGACTGGTGCTTGTGACCCTCCCTCGCATTATCACAAGTACAAGTTCAGTTTGGTTCCGGTATATGGTTGTGACCGGAACGGCCTCCATGCGGCTTATACGGCACCGCTGCCTTATGTCAAAGATGGTCTTCTATTTTATAACAAGTTACTAATAACTCTTTCTTTTGTTGCGTGATTTGTCATAAAGTTAATTATTATGTTATGCATTGTGACAACCTCTGTGAAATGCCTTCAAATGGATTGTTTTGTGTAATTGTTAAGAACTGTAGTCCTTTCAACCCAAGTGTTGGTTCTTTTATCCTGTAGTACTTGTTGTGTCTAATGAGATTCTTTTGTTCTTTAAATCTGCTTGTTATTTTCATTTTCACGCTCATATTATGTTTGTTACTTTTGATTTGTTATTTTGTTAGGCATGCGCACTACGAGGCAGGAATTACGCCATTAGCGTTAGTTTGGAAGGATGAAAACTGTAGTCAATATGTTATGGACACAGACAGTAAAGGACAGGTTCCAAACCAACAGCAGGTGCTTTCCCTTCTTTTGCATCTTCTCACTGCTTTCTTTTCCTTGCCTTTTCTTTACTTTATATATTTCAGTCATTTGCTTTTGCAGATTTCAAGCCCTTGTCATTGAACAGTGTATATAGGAGTAGGACTGTTAGTTCCCCTTCTTAGGCATTTTTTTATGGCATCTTGTTTGTTGAAATTGAACTATATCTTAATACTACAGAAAACACAGAAACTCACCCACACGTCATAGCAACCTATAGCGATCTTCTAAGTTCAAGTTGTTTAAAGTTGACCTCTCTTCCCTCTTTTCTTCATTTTAGAACTGAAGTTACCATTACGTTGTGAACATATGATATGAGTGTTAAACATTGGCTGTTATGCCTTTTAAATATGTTGCATTGATGATGATCCTTAATAAACTTATAATGGATGTACCAACAGTTGTTAGAATCTCAAAATTTTATTCAGATTTTACAATCCGAAAGATAAAAAGCATAATTACATTCATTATTATTGTAATTTTTGTTTGACATTTTTGTACTTAGTTTCCTAAGGTATAAATTGAGAAAATTTTCTGCAGTGCACATTCAATTTTGCATGATTAAATATCAGATGAAAAACCAATTATATGATTGTCTTACAACAACAACAACCAAGTCTTATCTCATTAGGTAAGGTCGATTACATGGATCACACGATGCCATTGAACATGGTAAAAAATTAAATTTTTAAAAATTTGGTTAATCAAAAGGTCTCTTTTAATAACTTCATCTAAGGTTTTTTTGGGTCTCTCGTGACTCTTCTTTACTAGAGTATAGCGTCATGTAGACCAATCCACTTTAGACGATTTTCAATCATCTTTTTTACTATAAGTGCTACTCCAATATTCGCTCGTATATTATCATTTTATATGATTTGATTGCTTTGCTTTACAAAATTTGGATTTAATTTTGTGAAGTTGTGACATGAAGGGCATGAGTTCTAATCTTGGAAACAGTCTCTTTGCTTTGTAGGGATAAGGTTTCATACTTCTATCTTCTCTAGATCTAACTAGGTGGGACCTGTGTGCACTAGGTGGCCCTTTTTTCATTAAATGTTTATTTGCTTGATTGTGTCTCTAGATATTTTGGTGAGTCAAAGTTTTGGAAATTATAACAAAGGTCTGAAAGATTAATTAAGGAAACATTACCATTTTATTTCAGAAGTGGTTGCAGAAGTAGTTATACAGAAACTAACCACATAAAATTTGAGAGTTAGCCTTAGCATAGCCAGAGAGTTACAAGTGATCCTCCCAAGACCCACCACCCTACAATGGAGTAAGCCTTATGGACGGGTGTGTGTGAAGGAATAAGATTGATTGACACTAGGTGTCAGCCTTTATAAAATGAAAATTTCAATAACTTCTTACAAAAAATAAAAAAATAAAAATTTATCAATCCAAATGTTGAATTATGTGATACTATCATATCAAATTTTAGAAGATTTAGGCATTTGTAAATATGTAATTTGTTTGTAGATATTTACTTATATTTTAAATAACATATTATATTGTAAAATAAAATGGTGTAATGAAATATTGATTTATTTTAAATTGTATGAAATTTTGTAGACGATTTATTTTTTGAGGACTTCAAATCTAACGGTTGGATTGATAAAATTTACTTTTTACAAAGTTTAACACTTAGTGTTAAGTGATCCTATCCCATGAATGACTCATTTACAACTTTAAAAATGCTTGAAGTCCAAGTCGATTAATTTATTCATGTTTTATATATTTACTATTTAATCTACATATGTGATATTGCTTAATCAGTTTCTCTGGCTTTCCAAACCAGGTGGTTTTGGAGTTTCAAGAAGATGGAAAACTGACTACCTCTGATGATCCTCCAGTGGTTTTTGGCTGTTTAGATGGAAGTTTTACAGAACAGGTTTGTTTGAAAGAGGTTTCTATATAATTGAAAATTGGCATCTGATGCTTAATTTAATTAGCATGCTTAGCAGCCTCAGCCAACTGAAACTTTCTGCCAATATATACAATCTTACATTGTTTCTAGGAATTTTATTTTTTTACAGCACTAGTTTGATAGAAATGGTTGTCTGAGAAATTTTGTTCTGGATGGGATAGTATGATTGGCTGTCTGTCATGAAATTTGGCATTAAACAAGCTTACATCTTTGGCATCAAACCCACTTTTATTTTTTTTTATCTTTTACCAAATAATTCTTATGTGACTTTCTTCAATTTTGCAGTCAGGGCTGCATTCAGGATGTCTTCTACGGTTTACAATTGGAGAGGGAGGATTGGTTTTGATGGATGGGAAGCTTGAGAATGCTGATCTAAATTATCTTGGCCAGGCCAATCGAGCTCGTGCCTCTGCTGATAGTTTCTCTAAGGTTGTAAGGGAACGTTCCACTGAACCTCTATTAAAGTATCTGCAACTTGTCTCATTTAAACACTAACATTTTACTCTAGATGGATTGCATATCAATGTGGAAAATGTGACAAAGTTAATGGAAACAATTTTGAGGGAATATAATTTATTGAACTACCAATTTAGCTGCCCTGAAAGTCCCTTGACATCAATTGAAATATTTTAACATTAGATATGCCTTTCAAAGATTAAATTGACTTCATCACATTGATCTGTATTATGTTGAGCGGTAGCTTTGCTTGACCGAGGAACTATTCTGATATTATTTTTTGTTGTTGGTATCAAAATCTTTAGAGGATCAAATTGGTAGTTTTGTCAGATAAAATTGTAGTAGGATTAGATGTAACATTTGAGTTTTAGGTAGAAATTGTACTTACTACGTTCCCAATAATAATAAGTGCTTAATGGTGACTATTGTTGGCTCAAGGATTTGGGGTTTTGGTAATTTGAGGAATGTTTTCATTTGAGGCTGCTGTTTTAAGTTTCCATTATTAATACCATTAGTATTGTTGGGTATTTTCCTTTATGAAAAAAAAATTAGCATGTATCTTATTTTAGATGCTTTATGAGTAGTGAATTGTTTAATGGTTTAGTTTATATTTGGTTTTACCTCTTTTTCGTCTCCTTTCTTCATATTATCATTATTCTATTACGCAAGTGCCTTGTGATTTTTCTGTATTGCCATTTACAGGTTGTCGGAAGAAGACTTTCCCGTAGTGTTCATTCATTGTTTTTGGGGTTTTAGTTTATAATCATGCTGCAATTTTGCACTTTCAGGTTATGTTCCAATACAGTGTTAGACACTCCCCCCTCAGGATTGATGATCTGTTGGGATCTGTCAGTTCACCAGTTGATCAAGAAAGCAAACCTTGTGATATTGAGATGGATGGTTGATAGGGAATGCGCTATGGATTGCATGCCAATCTCTTATCCTGAGAGCATGCTAAAAGTTATCACCTTAATTTTTGGTTCACTATGATGCTTAATGTTGTGAAGGCTTCCATAATTTATACTGAGGATCCAGAAGATTGCTACCTACCACACGTACTGAGACAGAGTTGTAACAGTCGTACGTATGTTTCAATTTGTAAAAGAAATTTCTTCAACTTAGACGGGAGCAAGTGTGCATATGCATGTTATCCATATTGTGTCTGGTTTATTTGTTGCTAGGCGCTAGCAGCCACTGTATTTGATTTAGTTTTTAAAATTCCTATTCATCAGTGTACGGTGTAGCATGACTTGTACAGTCTATTATAAATTTGAAGTTGAATTCACTTCATAAATATAAGTTGTTTGCTGGGCGACCTCTTTCTTACACTTCAAAGCATGGTACTTCTAAATGATTGGCATCTTTGGCATTCTGTTCATACCTTATTGGATTGAGACATAAATGGGATTTTTCTCAAATTCTTGGGAATACCTCTAATTTCTGTCTTTTCAATTGTTTGAATTGGTTTTAGTAATATACTACACTGATTAGAAAAATAATAATATTTTTTTATTATTTTCACTACATTTAAGAATTATGAATCATTAGTGTTTTTATTTTAATTAAAAATTTGTGATGTTACTCTTAACATCATAAATTATTTGACTATAAAGTATTTATTAAAAGATGTCAAAATTGTGCATTTGAGTGTTGAATTGCATGGTTCAACGCTTTTCCAATGATTTCTCCTTGAGAGTGGTGGATCGTTTAACCTGCGTGCAAAGTGGGTTGGGTTGCAGACTCAAATATAAAAAAAAAACTCCTAATTTTTTAAGTTTTTTGAAACAAAGGTTTACATGTTGCTTACCTCTCTTCTCACGATCTCCTCTAATATTCTCTCTCGAAAATGATTGGCTTCATGACTCTGCCGGCTTTGCGTGTTGCGTTTATTCTCTTGTTATTGTGTGTTGCTTCGTTCTTCTTCGTTACCAACATTAGGTGTTCTGCTTCATCCTTCTTTAGTGAAGAATGGTGATAAAGGATTTAAACCACCTTCCTACCATGAATTAGAGGCAAATATTTGAAGTAAAAGCTTGATTTTACTAAGCAAGCTTTAGAGTAGCAAAAGTCTATTGGAACTCTTATGACAGAACGGTGGACTAATAAGAGAAGACGATTATACTATAAACTTTTTGGTAAATAGTTTTAAAAGAACTATTTTCTTGAAGTTTATTGATACATTTCACATATCTTAAACAACTTACCAAAGTATTCAAGGTGATAAATGATATTACTAAAAATGTCATCCAAATTATCATAGATAATGCAACAAACTACAAAGCAGTTGAAGAAAAGTTGATGAAGAAGAGGAAAAAGATATATTAGATGCATTACATAGCCCATTACATTAATCTAATGTCGGAAGATTTCGAAAATAAAATTCTAATACCAAAATAAACAATTGCACACGGTAAAAAGATTACATTCTTCATTTACTCAAAGAGTGGTTTCATTTCTTTATTACATCACTTTACTAAATAAATAAATTTGATCAAACTTGTAGCTACATGTTTTGTTACATCTATACTTTGGATTGTTTGATTGATAACAAGAAAGCCTTGATAAGATTATTCTCATATGAAAAATGCTAATATAGTCAATTTGCAAAGGGTAAGGATGGGAAGGTCATTGAAAATGTAATTAATAATAATAAGTTTTAAAAATATATTGTGATTTGTTTTAAAGATGCTTATACTTTGATCAATGTATTTTGATATAAGTGGATTTAGATGAGAAGCAACCAAATTATTTATTTATGATGAAATGGATAAAGGCATAAAGCTAAGTTATTTATTAATGATGAAATGGATCAAGCTAAGGAGATGATACAATGTGCTTGCAATGGTGTTAAAAACAGATAAATTATTTTCTAAAATTTTAAGTTTAATTTTAAAGTCATTTTTTAAAAACATTAAATTCTCTCTCTCTCTCTCTCTCTAATTATAAGCTAATATGGTAGTGAATGTTAGGCTTTAAATGAACAACATGAGAAGTAGGAGTAGCAGCGATGAGAATGTTAAGATAGATGAGTGGTCGCACGAAAAAGGACATGATAAAAAAATGACAATATATATGAGAATATTGGAGTTGCCTACAATGAAAAAGATTAAAAATTGTCTAAGGTGATTTGGTCACGTGTTGCATGATTTTTAGTCTGATAAAAAGGGATCAAGAGAGACTCAAAAGAACCTTAGAAGAAATTATTAAAAGAGAAATTTTGATTTATCAAATTTCTAAAATTTTAGTCTTTGACTGAGCTCAATGACGTTATGTAATCCATGTAGCCAACCTTGCCTAGTGGGATAATGCTTAGTGGTTGTTGTTATGATTGTTGTTGTTTAGTTATAAGCTAATATACGGTGTCATTGATGAGAAATGAGACAACTAATTACACAGGTCCTTGCATGCTGCAAGTTTTTATCTTAATCCTATTTTACACTATAGTCCCAACTTTAAAGTTGATTTTATAGTGAACCATAAACTTTATGATTGTTTACAAGGGATGGTTGGAGATATTAAAGAAATAAGTACGATTGATTTTCACCCTCAAGATTTTAAAAATAAATCTAAACTACTTTTTGGTAGTCTTGCAGTCATTGTTGCATTTAAAAATAACTATAGCCCAATGGTATAATCTTATGATGATTAGTATTACAGGGTTGCAACAGTTTGCTATTTGTGTATTAAACTTGACATGCAATTCCTCTGGTTATCAACATAATTGGAGTACATTTGAGATGATACAAGTTTAAAATTTATAATATACTTCATTCATAAAATTATTTAGTAGGTGTTAATTGATTTATTTTTTATTTAATTCTACACTAAGAGAAGGAACTGTTTGAAGCAAAAGACAATAAATGATGTTGTCTTTGTGATGACTAACTCTAAGTTAGGCAAGGAAAAGCAATTTAGGAGAGAAAATGATTATGATGTGGAAAATCTTTTCTCTAATGATGATTGGAAGTGGAGAATGCTAAAAATTTGTATTTGGATATGAATTTAGATCTTTGAAACAAATCAAACTTGCTTTCAATAGAAAAAAGATGTTGACGATGATGTTGACTTGACATCTCAACATCTTTTGTGATTTGAAGATTCCTAATTTAGATGAGCTTGACATTAGTGAAGGTGGAAATGTTATGGAAAATGATAAAGATGAAAAAATATGGATGATGATTATTGTGATCAAAACTTGAATAATTTGTTAGATGTTTATAGTTGAAGTGTTGAACTATTTTCTTTTATGCTTTAGTTTAATGATGTGTTGCTTTTGTTTTGATAAGAACTTACATGACTTTATAACTTTTTAGTTATTAAAAATTAAGATAACTGAAATATAAAATATGTCTTAGATAGAAATATATTGGATAGTTAGTTTTCCAATTATTGTTTATTTTGTTATGTTAGGTAATCTAGTAATATCTGGTTTATGACCTTTTTGTTCCTTATATAAGATGTAAGTCTCTTAGATAATAGACATGCCTATTTCATCTTCTTATTCTTTCTTGGTATCAATAATACATACCAATTCCATTCAATTTTTTTTTCATGGCAAAATCAGCCTTTTCCATGATGAATTATAAATCTAACACTCATAAGACTCTTTTATCAATGCTTTGGTCTATTAAGTTGGATAGAGGAAATTATAAGTTGTGAAAATCTCTTGCTTTTTTATTGCTAAAAGGAAATAGAGCATCTCAATAAAAATGAAAGATGTATAATTGGAGTACACTCAAGATCCAAGATAACCTTTTTGAAAGCTAAATTTTATAGGATGAGGAAAAACAAAATAAAAATAAAGGAACATCTCAATAAAATAAAAGAGATAGTTAACAGTCTTGCTTTTGCAAGATGCTTAGTTTGCACCTTGGATTAATCACTCAAACACTTGCAGTTCTTGACAATGAATACAACTCCATTGTTGTTCAATTGTTTGACAAACCAAACCTGACATGGGTAGATATGCAAGTGCAACTGCTCACTTTTGATAATATACTAGAATAAATTAATAATCTTTCCAACCTAACATTGAATCTCTTTACAAAGCGGTTTCCCAAGCTATAAATGCAGCCTTTATAAAGGCTGCCCATTATATTTGACCACATTGCATCCTCATTAATGGACTCTTTGTTCTCAGTAGATGTAGCCTCCAAATTTGAACATAGTCATTATATAATTTAGTACAAATAATTATATATTAGCCTTGAGAAATATTTTTTAAATATTTAATAAAAAATATGATGTCAGTAACTATACTTATATATATAGCTTGCGATCGTGTATCAACATATTGCGTTTTGTCTTTCTTGTGAGTATATGTCTCCTTGAACACCTCTTAATGCGTAGGTAGACTATTCAACAACTTCTCCTGCAATTCCAATTAATATACTTCTCAAATTCAATTGATAAATTAAATAACATACAATTTAAAACAAAATTGAAAATCACTTACCAAGTTGGCCTTAATGTCAGCCAATGTCGTAAAGTTACCAGTATGCAGTGATTTCCTTTATTGGATACCTTGTTTGTCTTATTCTCTATGGAGAGAATTTTAAACTCTCCCATACGACAATACTCCTACAAGAGATGAAGGAAGTGGATGCTATCCAATCTGCAGATAATGAGTCCTAACGGGCCTCAATGTACATCTCTATTAGTCACTTTGAAGTGTGACTCTTCCAGGCCTTGAAAATCATCTTCTCGTCTTGGAAGAATGGAAAAGTTGCTCTACATAAATAGAAATAATTAATACAGATACTGCAACATCTTTTTATTTATTTATTGATTTGATGAATTTCTTTGATATTAGATAATGATAGAAGGTATTTTGGACTGAATCATTAAGTATTTGATAGAGTTCCAGCGTAGAGTTTCTTGCTCAAGCGAGCTTTGTTTTGCTCAAGCAAGATAAAGTCAGTCTGAACGAAGTTCTCTAGAGCTTTCTCGCTCAAGTGAGATTAGTCTTGCTTAAGCAAGACATAATAGACTTGACCCAACTGTCCTCTTGCCTAGGCAATAGTGATCTTGTTCAAGCGAGATAGGATCTTGCCCAGGAAAGATGAGTTGCTCAAGCGATGACTCACAAGAAAAATGTCAAATTCTCTGGATGTTTTCTTACTCAAGCGAGAATATGCTTGCTCAAACGAGAGCATCAGAAAATAGTTAGGGAGACCACTGTCTACATATCTTGCTCAGACGATATATGTTTTGCTCAGCGAGGTACTTCTTGCTCAAGCGAGAATGCGTGAAGTATGAGGGTATTTAAGGGATTTAAAGCATGAAAAATTCACATTCAAGTTCTTTTCCCTTATTTTCTTTGAA